GTGGACAGGAAGAAGTTTGGAAGAGAAAAGCCAGGGAGGGAGAGCTACACTTCTGGGTCACTTTCCCAGCAACTCTCCTCTTCTGAACAGACCTTACTCCTAACAGCAAGTCAGCTATAACAGGCCAAGCCCCTCCAAAAGCCCCTCCTTTGAGCACATGAGGTTCCTGGGGGACATCTGAATATAAACCATATCAATGGTATAACCAGTCAGACCTTACTTATTATCAAGTTCAGAGGTCGGTGTATTTTCTTGATGGGGTTTGTATTTCACTTGTTAATACTTCACTCCTGGCCAAACTCTTCAAAAGCTATGTGTTGTTGTTTTTATGGTTTTATAATTAATGTCTACCGTCTGTTGAGTGCTCTGTGCTGACTAGATGCCTACCTATGTTATCCAGGTTTAATTCTTACAACAACCACGAGGAGAGTGTGTTGCTATCTCCTTTCACAGGAGAGGAAAGGGACAGGGAATTGCTAAGTGACTTGTTCTGGGTCAGACAGCTAAAACTTTCAGAGCCATAATTTTAACCCATGGCTGTGTGACTCCAAGTCCCTGAGCTGTAGGTGAGTGCCTCTTCAAAGCTGTTCCTTAGTGATCAACACATCCGATGCAAGGGTGGACTAGCTTGTACCTCCAGCAGGGGAAATTCAGCTGTCTTTACATCATTCACCAAAGGCTCAGGGTGTTCCAGTTATCTTCAGATCCTCTTTCAGCCAAAGAGTTGAAAAAGTAATTTTGAGAACCTCAGAATTTGTCCCCGCCCTGATATTCAGCCATGAGTGACTACATTTCGGATGCGGAGAGATGATCTACTCTTAAGAGTCTCTTGCCAAATGCACGTGGCCCCAGGAGAGGTAGCGCTCCCCAGGGATAAATGGACAGCTGTCTGAGTGTGGGGCTTAGGGGGTCCCCAACAAAGTGGAGAGGAGAGGTGTCAAACCCACATCCATTCTGTCCACCCTCAACAAGGCAGAATAGTTGGTGATGGAGAAGGAAGGCTTCCCAAAATTAGGCGAATAAAAGCATGTTATACAATGACAGCACAATCCATCTGTATATGTAGGATGGTTAGAGGGCTTTATTATATACCTATTAACAGTGCGTAAGTCTGGGTAGTGGTATTAAAAGTGATTAATTTTCTTTTCCATTTTTTACTTTTATATATTTTCTGGCTTTCCTTAAGTGAACACACATTCGATTTTTAATAATACCAATAAAAAGGTATTTTATAAGTGTATGTCCTTGTCCACTGGAGAGGACTGTCTCCCAGCACTGTCTTCTTTCTCCTCCCTAGGACACCACTGCAGTAGTTCTATGACTGGAATGTTCTGGAAGCTGCCCGTGGGCTCCCTTCCTCACAGGCCACTTGACCCCAATGTGTCCCTCACATGGTTGCCAGCTTAACTCATAGCTCTTGTCAACCCTGCCCAAGTAGTTACTGTCTGGGGCCACAAATCCAGGTACAGTTCTCAGGGTGCAGAGAGGGGCCAGTGTGGCAGTGCTGGGTGGTTTCCAGACACTGCATTTGCAGGTTATCCGAGGACCCTGGATAACTTATGGGGTGGTGCCTTATGAGAAGCCCCATCTGGCCTGCAGTTAGCTGAGCCACACACTCTACTTTGGGGGCTGCAGCTGACCCACCTGGCCAGCCTTGTACCCAGACCTAGACCTGCTGCTTGGAAGGAGGATGAAAGACAAAGAGATACAGAGCCCACTTAACATGCGGGCATCCACGAGCCATGACCTGAGTGCAGCCTCTCTCCTTTGTGCTCACAGAGGACTCCAATTAGGCTTCATTTCTCCTCTGGTCTCCTACAGGGACCCCAAAGGGAGTTATGGTCTGGAGGTGACAGCCCTGAAAACACACAACAGTGAGCTTCTTTGGGTGATTCTAGATGCCTTGAACCTTTCAGCTCTTTCTTTCTTGAGATCCTCCTGCTTCAGCCCTTTAATGCTGGAATTATAGATATGTGCTATCACACCCAGCCCCAAGTATTTTTTAGAAGCAAAGTAATACAGTGGATCCCCAAGTTATGACTGGCCTGGCATAGTAACAACTTGGGTTAATTAGATTAATGGAAGATTCATCTGCCTCTTGTTATGTATAGCATATATCCAGGTAAACATCCAGATCTCAGCCGTATTGATTTAGTTACAACCAGCTCTTGGGAACCAGTCGAGTTTGTAAGTCAAGGGTTCACTGTTCTAGTGGAGGTAAGCCAGGAGCTGTCCAGAGAAAAGAAAACCTCTTCCCTCCACCACCCCACAGACAAACAACCTCTGGGAGGTTGGAAGGCACTCGGGAAACACTGAGGGGCGTTTATCTCACTTACACATTTTGCTTCCATTAACCCAGAAAATTTTCACTGCCGAAAAAAAAGACAGCATGCTTATTGTGCAGTTTGTTTATCAAATGTGGCCACTGCAGTCACATTGGTTTCCAGCAACCAGGCACATATCAAGGGTGCCAACGGAGAGACATCTGGGAGAGTAAAATGTCACCGAGTGGCAACAAACTTGTTGCAAAGTATGGTAAGTCCATGGTTGAAAAAGAAGGTGAAAATATGTAAGAAGATGTAAAATATGTAAAATGTGTAAGAACAGGTGCTTTTCAAAATTAAAAATAATAAAAGACACCAAAACAAACAAAAAGCATGATCTTGTGGTTTTGGTGAGTCCCCTTCTGTGCCTGCTCATTTTTAGGAGTTAAAAACTATAATGCTAATTCTTCGACATAAACATTGTTAATGTTTTTGATGGTGCTCGTATTTTTCCTACTTCTATATTAGCATAAATTTATACTACATCAAAAAATTTCCTAGATAGTTATGGGGTGCCTGTATATTTCCTATGCTTCTTGTTCAAAACCACCAATACCAGATAGTAGCCTACAAGGTCTGTCTTTATAAGATAGGCGTGATGTGTAGTGTGAAATTGTTTTAGGGTCTGGGATCGCCAAAGTATACATGTCTTAAAAATATTATATTCTTGGTAAAGATTATATTTCTGGGCCATATCTGAACCATACACAGTTCCTGGGTTTTGGTTGTTGGACAGTTCTTTAACCCTAAGCCCTGAAATGGTGAAGGTTTCACCAAAGTCTGACAATCAGTTGGGATGTGGAGAGACAGCCACACAGTCCTGCAGTTCTGGAGTTTTTACTGGGGGGGGTGTCCTAAAGGACCCCACATTTTTGGAAACCTGAAAACAAAGGAAAAAATCAGCAATTGATTTTAAAGTCAATACTGAGAACAATTCACGCATAGTTCACCTTTCAAGTATGTACGATGTTATTGAAAAATGCAGGAATGTTTAAATTTTTTAAAAAATTCATTGTCGTAAATGGTATATTGCAGTTAATCTCTTCCATACACTCCCTCTTGCTTCAAACACATTTGTGCCTTCACTTTTGTCACTTTTGAAAGCAGTTATACAGCCCCTTTTCCTGAGTGGCTTTAGCCATGCTGCCGTGGCTGCCTTAATGTCTTGAATTCATTCAAAACATTTATCTTTCATTGTCATTTTGATTTGGAGAAGAACCAGAAGTCACATGGTGCCAGATCCAGTGGATAACATGGATGGGGACACACTGTGATGTCGGATGAGCCTGCCTTTCTGGTGGATGGGCCTTAGCAGCAGCATTCACCACATTTTTGATCACACCCTGTAAGGACCTTCACAAAAGAGGAATTCCAGAACTGCTTCAGACAGTGGCAGGGTGATGGGATAAGTGTGTCTGAAGTGAGGGGGAGGAGTTTTGAGGAGGATTAATGACCATGTGTCTTTCATTGTAATAAATTTATAAACATTCACCATGTATTTTGATCACTTTGTGTACAAGTCTATGCATTCTGACAAACTTGTGTTGTTGCATAACTAGCAGCTCAATCAAGATACATAATTTTTTCCATTCTTTATCCATTCGCTAGTTGAAGTCACTTGAAGACTATCGCTGCAGGGTTTTGGTAATTATGGAATTCATTTATTCTTTTTGGGGGGGATCAGTGCTGGGGACGGAGCCCAGGGTCTCCTACATGCTAAGCACACACTATCACTGAGCTACACCCCAGCTCCTAATTTTTGGCAGTTATGAATAAAGATATATAAATATCCTACTCTGGTTTATTATATACGTGCAAGTCATTATTTTTATACTTAGGTGCAGGATTGTTGAATCATGTAGCTGGTACACATTTAACTTTTAAAAAGCTGTGAAGCGATTTTCAAAAGTGGCTGTACTATTCTGCATTTCCACTAGGAACACATTCAAGGTGCAGATGCTTAACATCTTTACCAGCATTGGTTGTTGTATTTTGCCATTCTAACAGGCTAACATGCTAGGTTCATGGCTATTCATGAGTATTTCAATTGCATTCTCCTCATAACTAATTATAGTGACATGTTTTCATGTACTTACTTCCCATGTACACATCCTTCCAGAAGAGTCTGCTAAAACCTTATGCCAATTTTTAAAATTCTGAGTTTTTTCTTTATTATTATTATTATTATCTGAAGAGTTCTTTATATATTCTGGAGCAAAGGACTTTATCATATATGTGTTTTGCAAATATTTTCTCTCTTTCTATGCTCGTCTTTTCAGTCTCTTAACAGTTTCTTTTGAAGAACAGAAGTTTTAATTTTTAAAAGGGCCAATTTATCTTTTATTGTTTGTTTGGCTTTTCTGAACCAGAGTCTTGCTACCTAGTCCCGGCTGACCTGGAACTTGCGATCCATCCACTTCAGCCTCTCCAGTGCGTGCATCATCATATCCAGTCCATTTTTGCATTATATATATGATGCTATATTGAAGGAATCAAAGGCCATAAAGGCCATAAAGTTTCCTTTATAAAGGAAATGTAAATGCTGTGGACTCAGGGTCCCTTTTCCTCAAGGGTCGGCTGTAATTGAAGTCTTGTACCCTGGGTGGCGCTGTTGGGACCTTTGGAAGTGGAGACACTCTAGGAAGTCCTTAGGTTGTGGGGGGAGTGAGACAGTTCTGTTGTGACCGGTGAGGGTTGTTATAGAAGGAGCAAGCCTGCCCATCCGCTTTCTCTTCACTCCTAGTCAATGTGTGACTGTTTGCTCTAATGCACACTTCTACCATGGGTCACCACCATCTCACCAGAGGCCAAATCAGTGGGACTTCCTGTCTGAGATCTTCAACTTTGAAGACTGTGAGTAAATAATTTTTTTTCTCTATAAGTCAGCTGCCTCAGGCAGTTTCTTGCAGTAACACAAAGCTGACAAATATACTAGCCAAGACTGACCACTGCCTTAAGGTATTTGCTGTATATTGTAGGAGAAATATACATAAATATATATAACTAACCATAAGATGATGCAGACAAAAATAATCTGCATATTATCAGCTCAAGCACAAAATTTAAATGATTTCATCACTCATGCCAAGAGCCCATCAGAGTATTTAGGAAAAAGCTATCTATATAAAGGCTCAGGATGTAGGCAACTGAGTAACTCATCCCTTTAGAAACCTGGCTAGTAAGGGGACTTGGAAAAAAATACCTGGTCAGAATGTTTTCCTATTTCCTTATAAATGGCAGATGTCTGAAATCTTAAATGGGCATATTGAAATGCTGGAGAGAACATTGACCTGTGAGAAAACTCATTTAACAACTTTAGTCAAGTTATATCAGAATTCTGGGCCTCCATTTCCACATCTGTAAGGTCTTGGATCAGACATTTTGTGTCCCGTTAGGGAAAATTAATGCAAGCATTTTGGAAGTGTGGTGCTGTAGCCCAGAAACCTGGGTAGTGAATCAATAGATGCCAGACTGAAAGACATAATTCTGGAACCCATGGGCAAAGATGGCCTCTGCACAGTAAAAGAATAAAGAATATTCTCAGAAATTAAAGTTAACTCATGTTGCACACTAGATTATTTGAAGGTAAAGAGCATTCATGAGAAAAATAAATCAGTGGACATTGCTGATATTTTCTAAGCCTTGTAACAAGATCGGTGAAAGCTTATTATAGCATTTATCCTATATCTGTGAAAACTCAGTTTTCCCTCATTATGTCCAGAGACCTGCTTAAGACACAGGAAATAAATGGTATTTGAAAAAAGGGCATTTTTTTTTTCCCTGAATGATGAACTAGAACGAGCAGAGATTCAATTGAGGAACTGGCCTTAGTTAACATGTTTGTGTGTTACGTGGAAAAGAATGAAATTGTTGCTTAGCATCCTAGTTTGTGACTTTCAGTTCAATGGGAGTAATCCCACACAATCTTATCAATCTGAGTGTCATAGATAAGCCAAGTTATATTAATAAGATGATGGGCACCGGAGCTTTCAGTTAAGACAAAGGGCAGTGATTTGGGAGTCAGAGTAGTTACCAAAGATAGTAACCTCTAGACTCTAAAGAGCTTGAATAGGCAAAAAGAGAAAAGCAGCCAGGGAACATCAGCTACCTCTAGTCAAGATGTAATATGCATCAGAAACATTATCCTCCCCTAAAAACCATGGAGAGGGAAGGCTCTAGACTAGGACACCATGGGCCAAAACCCGATTGCCCAATGCTGGAGAAGATGCGATAAAGCTGAAGGTTTTATGCTGAGGGAAGAAATGCAGTCATATGACACCAGATTTTTTTTAAAGGCCTAATCTAGCAATAAAAAGCCTCGGCGTGGAATATGATGGGCTACAAAAGCATTAACATTCTGGAGAGAATAATGCATCTCATTACCCCAAGTAGAGATTAGGATGATAATTTGAACAATCTTTATAGGAATTAGCTAATGGGCTATTAGGCTCAATCATCCAAGGAGGTAAAGGGATCAGATGTTTTCAGGATGATGTCATGGAAGGGCTGCTTGCCATCTTGGTCTCAGGAAGCCGAGAACCAAACAAAGTTCCTTTCACATTCTATCAGATCATAAAAAGTAGTAACTTTTATCTTGAGTTCTGAGGAAGCTCATAGTATTTTAGCAGCTACAGTTCATCAAAGCTAAAATTTATGTCTGGAGGAAAGAGCTTCCTGCACATTTGTGTGTGTGTGTGTGTGTGTGTGTGTGTGTGTGTGTGTGTGGCTAGTGGGGGTTGAACCCAGTGCCTTTGTACTGAGCTACACCCCCAGTTCTTTTTTTTAACGTTTTAAAATTGTGAGACAGTCTTGCTAAATTGCTACACTGTCCAAGCAAGGCTTAAGTTTACAATAACCGTGCCTCAACCTCCCAGAGTGCTGGGATTGCAGGTGTGTACCCCCATGCCTGGCTGCAGATTTACTTTTACCATGCCAACCTCCTAGCAAAATGAACAATGTGGTATCCTCTCTTGCAGCAGTACTTCTGTTGTCTATCAGAGAAAGGGAATTTTTGATATTCTGTTCATTTGCCGGACATACTTGCGCTATAAACCCCACTGAGATATTTAGATTGTTATAGCAAACACCGAAGTGAATTATTAAAGTCCCACCCAGAATCTAAGACAGCGTCATACTTCAGACAACGAAAAATAAAAGTAAAATTGGAATAGGGAGTCTGCTCGAACAGTTAAGACATCAGATGTAAACAGGTGGAAAATTATTTGAAATTTACATCAAAGGTCAGCCAATGCATATCTGAGCTGTTGTGAAATAACAGTGATTAGCCTAAAGTAAGTTCTTTCTGAAATCTTTTGTGGAATGTCCTGATATCGCCACATAAGCTTAAGGAAGAGGTGGTAGCAGAGATTGGGTAAAAAGAGACAGAGCTGTAGCCCATATGGGTCACACTCTGTGGCTCTGCTTGGCTTAACCTATAACATGTAGCTCTCCTGAGAGCTGTCTCCCTAGTATCTTTTTCTTAAAAATGAAGTTTCTGAAAGCAAAGTATGTTTCTTGGACACGTTTTCATCCTTGGCCAGTACACAGAGTATGTACAATATGACAGACCCAGGACTGCCCTTCCACGTTAAATAATTCTAAACCTCAGTTGGCTAACTTGTGCACCCAGAAAAGGAAAGGAAATGACAGGGGAACATGACACGACCTGAGCTCAACCAAAGGAGGTCCAAGCAGGGTTAGCATAATTTTCAGGCCAACTGCAGAGACTAGACTGACTGCTCGGAACTTCCTTGAAGAGGAAACAGGCAAGATTCCTAGCTCGCACCCAAAGTGCAGAAACACAGCAAGTTCATTCAGTCAGCTGCCTTTGTTCTCATTCAGGGGATATCTAGTAAGAATTTCAAGACATTTTCTTCAGCAGGACAGAATATACAGATAGAGGTGACCCAACTGTTAAAAATCTTGAAATGCTTCTGTGCCCCTGGGGAAAATATTGCTGTCTGAACAGCCTGGAATGTCACCAACTCCCCTATCTGCTCCGCGTCCTCCACTGCAACCTTCCCCAGACTTCTGTCACTCCAGCAACCATGGAGTGCATGCATGATCCTGAAGGATCTCGTGGGAGCTTGCAGTGTCCGTTCCGACCGACCAGTGCCTGGGGTACTGCTGGTGGTTCAATATTGCCCTTATCCTGCCTTTTCTCAGACAGTGGCCCCTAAGTGACACCGGTGACAAAACTAGAGAGTACACTAGGAAAGGATGGCGAGGGAGATGGACGAAAGTGGAGGAGACCAAGGTATCCAGGTTAGAGAGTGAGGGGCTCTTAGTTCTAAAGACCCTTGGACTAGAATGAAGATAGATTTTTCCCTTGGTCCTGAGTGGCATAGCCGTACCCACTTACTTCCTACCAGAGAAGCTAGGGAAAACAGATCACAACTGAGAAGCACTAGGAACCCCAGAGGAGAAAAATCCTATGTAAATATGCAAACAGATTAAAAATAGAGAGGAGAGAATGAATCTAAGCCACAAGTGTATTTTCAGACTGCCAAGGTCGTGAACTCCTGCGTCTTATGCACCTCCATGTCCTCTTACCAAAATCAGAGGGAATTTAGTTCCACTGAGGGCCATATAAGGGAGGATGAGGGAGCAGTCCCAGATGGGGTAGCATAAAAATGCAGAAAGAACATTTAATTCCTTTAAAGAGTAAATGGCACCGTGTATACTCCCCAAGCCCGCTGCCCTTAAAAATAACGTGCCTTTAGGGTATGGCATGAAATTTGGCCATCCAGTAAGATTTCATTCATTTAGGCTACATGTTTTACATTTACAAATTTGGCCTCAGAACCCAAAATGCAGAAAGCGATCCTATGGAAGAATTTTCAAGCAATTGACTTATTGTGGCCGCGTCTCCTATCCCTTTTCACCTCCTCTTAGCTCGCCTGGAGTCCACCTAACCTCGCTGAGGGTCTAGAGCTTTGGACTTGAGGGTCTTCCTTTCACCGAAGAATTGGGAAGTTCACATTCCACCCAAGGCCCAGCAGAGTAAATGTCTAGCTGCGGGACTTGGGCACTATCCTGGGGGTGGAAGAGGGCCTCAGGGGTTGGCCCACTGTGGTTCACTTTCCCGGGCTGGAAAGGAGAAGATCTTCCCACGGAGGGCCGCTGCCCGTCAGCCAGGGAGTCTCCTTGCTTCTCATAGTCAAGCACCAGTGCAGGGAACTTGACAGAGTTGGAGGTGAGGAGCGTGTTCCCCTCCCCAGCATCACCACCGGGTGCTGCGTGATCAGAGGGGTAGCGTCCAGCGCTGTGGTACCCGAGGGAGGCGGACATCACGGACTGTTTACCACTGACGAGAGAATTGCCGCCCCACGATGGCGATAAACAGCAGATCAGTTTCAGCTGGGTTCCAATGTTGACTTCTAAATTCTCTGAAGATGACATATACCTTTATTTACTGATCTGAGAGGGAGTGGTACCCACTACCCGCACCCACCCACGCCGTCCAGCACATTCCTGCACCCCAGCGTATTTTTCGGCACCCATTATGATTTCTTATGGAAACTCAAGCCTGGGAAGTTTTGTCAGAAGAAAGACTAGGAAGAGCTGAGTCACATTCAAAGACTCAAAGACAGAGGTGGCGCAGAGAACTCGGGTCTTCGTGACTGTGAGGACATCCTCCTGCCAGGAGGGGAGAGACACAGGCTGTGCTTCCTAGCAGGACAGCACGGCCTACCGGCCTCCCAGTCTCTGGTGAGCGCTGTATCACGGGAAGCCCAGCCCCTGTCCTCCAGTTGCTAGGGTGATTTAAAAATAGCATCCACGGCCTGGAGGGGAGGGGTGCAGGGAAAGAAAGGAAAACAAGAGGCCTTTTGCGGGAAAACTACAGGCCGGGA